CTCCCCCAGCATCCGCCGCTTTCCGCTCCAGGCGCTGACGCCGCGCTCCGGCCCCGGCCGGCCGCACACTCCGGGAAGCGAGCTGTTTGCCTTGGACACGGCCACCGTGACACACACGCACAGGTGGCTCCAGCTCCTGCGACACAGGGTCAGGCTTGCTGCAAAGGCTCCTGCTTTCCGCAGTTGTTTCTCTAGGGGTCAGGAAACAGGGTGAAAAGCAGACCCCTTGTTGGAATTACATTCTAGTGAAGTTCACTCTGTGCGTGCAGGTACCTGGCAATTCTGGATAAAGCAGTCCAGGCCCCCAACAGCATTATTTTTGTAGCAAAGTCTCATTTCTGTACTACATTTGGGGAACATTACAACCCAGACTTGGAAGCCACTTTGTGGCTGACATGTATTTCCACTGTTGGTTTGGCCAAAATCCCACTTCCTGCTGTCTCCTATTGCAGGACATTTGGGTCTGGCACAGAGTACCTGTGCCCTGAGGTAGGAACTCCCTGACTGAAAGATATACTTGCTAAGATGTGGAACACCTCTAGATGTGCACAGTTTTGACTTTGAACTGTTTCTCAACTGTTTTTCACCTCTTCTTGATTTTTGGTGTAGCACCAATTTTGATGCGCTAGCTGCTATCTACCTGGTGGTATTTTCCTCCCATGGGAGAAAGTGTCAATGTTTTAAATGTATTTGAGGGAAAAATAGAAACTGAGAGTTAGGCTCTATCTCAGGAACAGGGGCACTTTCATTTTCTGGATGGTCTACACATGCTTCATTGCTGTTAATAATTTTATTCTGAATAAAATTAAACGGAGACCCCTATCTGCCAGGCCCGAGGCAAGCAATTCATGGCTTGAATTGGCCAGCACGTCAGACATTGCTTTTAATACTGATTCTTCTTTGCCAGCACTGTTTGATTAGGATGCAGGAGGGAGATGCTCCAATTAATGATGGCAAATGCTGTACGAAAAGTCATACTTCAGAAAGGGAAACAAAGCACAGGTCATCCAAGTGTCCAAGTGGGGACAGGGTAAAGTGAGGTTGCAGAGCCCAGCCTCAGTGGTCTCTTCCCTCCTAATTCTGTCTGCAGGCTCTTCAGCCAACACGAAGGGTGAGTCACAACTTGGAACTTGTGTCCCCCTCACCCCCTGTCTCTTTTTCATCACTGGTCTGGCAGAGGAAAGGCTTCCCACATGATCCTTGAGCCAAGTCCTGCTGGAACTGCAGTTGTCTCATGGTGGTCTCATCTCAAATATCTTAGCTGATGTTGCTGCCTTCTGTAGTTAGGAACTGCTCATATTTTCTGTTTTCTTAATAGCATGCATCTCTTGATGACACAAGTGAAGGCACAGTGAATCTGGGACTGGGAGCAAGACTATGGCCTGAGGAACAAAAAGTCCAGTATTGCACAATTTGTTCACATCTCTTCTAAGGATTTCATTTGTAATGCTGTCTTGGAGTTAAAGCAAATTCACTGCCAAGTACAGTAACTGAAGTATTCAGTAAGTTTAATTTGTTGTACTTGATACTGCTAACCACAAATGGGTAACATGTTTGACAGTCTTTTCCTATAGCCATGTGGTGAAGAGGTTCAAAAAAAATATTTTTTTTGCCTGTGGGTTACTGAATGGTACCAATATCTCCAAGCATTTTTGTTCAGCATTCAAATACGCTGTGTGACTGGTCACCGGTATTAAACAATAAGGTTTCTATTCCCTATCCAGATTCTTGTAGAGGCCAGGACTATCTGGAAAATTTGTAAAGGCTCTGAAAGGAGATATTGGGAAAGAGTAAATTAAAAAAAAATCAGTAGTCTTCCCTCCTCTTGCAAAAGGAAGTACCTCATATAATGCTGGACATGTGCAGTTCAGACTTGAAAATACCCACATTCTTTCTGTGCTTGTAGACACACTTTTCAAGATGATGTTTTTACTCAAAACATCTACTGCAAGTCTTTCCTTCTACATACATACCTCAAATATTTTATTGCAAAAGGGGAAAACAGGTGATTTTGCTGCTTTGAAATATAAATGCCAACTTGAAGGTTCACAGAGATGCTTACTTTCATATGGCATATACTTTGAACTGCTTTACATATTTACTGGTTCTCTGGGGTTGTCTGCTTTATATCATGATGTGGCTGGCTAACTACAGCACTTGAGGTGTGTAAGGGGCATAAGAGGGTCCAGGATCCCAAGGGCCTTCTTGGTTGCTGGGATTTTCAGACCTCACCTAGCTCAAAGTTCTCTCATTGCCTTTTTGACACCACAAAGAACAGTGATGAGCTGGAAGCAATTGAGGCCCTTTGATGTGGTGTACAGAGAGAGGTCTCCAAATTGGTGAGAAAGTCAAACTGCTGTCTCCTGAGATTTCTGTGTTTTTCTGCTAAAGAGTGTGTGTTTAATGTCTGAAGGACAGGAGACATACCATGTGCTTGTGGGCAGAGGACCTCTCTTTATCTCTTTATCCTGCTTTTGTGCATCCTTGTAGTCAGGCTAATGAGTTTTAAAACACATCCTAAGATGTATCCATTAGATAACAAGATTTACACCCAAATTCAAGCTGGAGAAAAGTCAATGAACTAAACTGTCAGCCTACCCCAAAAACCTTATCAAAACAAACTGTTTTGTGTCTATGGCTGGAAGCAACTTTATATTTCATCTTGTTTTAAAAGCTCTGACTTTTCCTTCTAGAGACTGCCTAGGATACACAGCTTCCATTAGGGTGTTATTTCTAAATCTACCAGTCAACTTAACAAAAGCAAAAAAAAAAAAAAAAAGCAATGCAAAACAAAAAACCAAAATAAAACAAAAGCCCAAACAAACAAACAAAAAACCTAAAAACCAAACGAACTCAAAACAAAACAAAAAGACGCCTATATTTTGATTATTGAGGCCTGTAGTCTGCATGTATGACTGGTGAATATGTTGTTTATTAGCCTCAAAGCAGTAACTACTTCACTTTCAAGAAATTTAATGGAATTATAGAATCATTAAGACTGGAAAAGATTTATAAAGTCCATAAAAGATCATGAAGTCCAACCTTCGACTGAACACCACATGCCCTCTAAACTATATCACAAAGTGCCACATCTACTTGTTTACTGAATACCTCCAGGGACTCCATCATTTCCCTGGGGAGCCTGTTCCAATACTTAACCACTCTTCCAGTAAGGAAATTTTTTCCAGCAAGAACATTGCCTGGTATAAGAAGATTTGAAAATTTCTGCAGCGTGTATGCAGGCAGCCAGCACTGTTGTATAGGGTAGTTTCCCATAGCTTCACAGGAACATTTCATTTTGATAAAACCTCTAGAAACACAGTATTGTTGTTATTGGTCTTTAAATGGTAGCTAGCTCTGAGTTCTGACTATCTATAGTAACACTGCATCAAGCTCAGTGAATGTGGATAAAGTTTAAAAGTCTGTGTTTCATTTATCTAAACTTGCATAAGCATACTTAAAATATAAGCCACCCTTAGCTTTGTATTTTTTATCGTGAAAATATATTTATGCTTCAAATAAATATTTTCCTCAAAATATACAGGCTGCTGCAGAAATTCAGCTGTAAGGATGATACATATAAGCCCTCAAAAAGTGAGGCAAATAACAAATGAGAAACATGCAGTGCCGAGAGTCAAGTACTGAAAAATGTAACCTCAATAAACCTTGCTTTACATAACCAGCTGTTGGAAAAGCATTTCATATGTTGAAAAGTGATTGAATAACAAAAGCTGAATCCTGTCTGCCTTTGCTACTTATACAGGTAATCTTCTGGGGGCTCAGACAACTTAAATATTGTGTTATATAAATGAAACTGGAAGTTTAAACACCTACATGGGTTTTACAACCTCTACAATATTCTAAATGCTTTCTCACATAAATCATTTGGTCAACCTAGACTATAATATCATCAAAAATTACATATTTCAAATGCAGATTTGGTTAAAATACCAAACAAAATCTCTTCTGCATATCAAGTAATAGAATACATAAATTAAACTCTTTGAAAATTGTGCAAGAAGGAGAAACTAGTAAGCATGCATATTATCTGTGCCATAAATTCAGTGACAATATAACATGTAGTATGAATGGAATCTATTATCAAAATGCATTTTCTGGGCACCAAAGCAGAAAATACGTTATCATTTGCTGGAAGCAGCGTAAATAAGTATCTTCCAAAGTTTAAAACAATCTACAAGGGGACTTTCCTGCCCCCTGAAAATCCCAGCAACACAATGGAATTGTGTTTAACAATTTTTCTTTCTTCATATTAGTGTTTGAACTGGGTCCCATACATTCCTCTTAAGGTGACAGTTTAAAACCTATCTATAGACACTCATCCTGTCTACAACATCTTGTTTCAATTAAAATTTGATCTTGGAACAGACAGAAGGATGGGAGTGGGGGGACACTGTTGTACCAGCTATTAAAAGTCCTTTCTGTCCTTTGAATGGAAGGGGAAGCTTACAGGAAAAGACCAGCACAGAAACAGTGCCCTGGAAACCTGCAAAGCCTCCCTCTGTGGCAGGAGAAGGACAGTCCCAGACACCTCCTCCTCTTCCGCTGGCACCACATGCTGCCCTGAGCCTTTTTTAAAGTAGGTTTTTGCTCTGCAGGCCCTGTGGTTCACATGCCCTTTTATGCAGTGCTTTTTGCCCCACTTCTCTGCGTTTTTCAGTGTGAGGCCGCTGTCTAGTTTAGAACAAGCTTCTGCATTTCAGACTTTTATTTATCTAAGGTCTTTGTGGATTTCTGTTTCGAATGTGCTTCTGGGACACAGGTAGACTCTTCTGAGTGTCACTGATCTCAGGAATCCCTGCTAGTTTGAGATATTTCATGTACTCCTGCATCCCTGCATTCTACCCCAGAACTGCAGTTCCTGTCTCCCAGTCACAGTGAACTCAGCCTTCTCAATAATACTGCTGCTTCTTTCCACGGGTCTCCTCCCTGATATGTTACCTCTAACTCCCAAGTCCCCTGGGTCCCCCTTGAGGAGGACTGAGATCTCCACATTTCTGTCTGGCTAAGACTGATACATGTGGACGTGAGCAGGGTCAGGGATGAGGTAACGCAGGAGGAGGAAAAATTGATAGAAACATCGAAAGGCCTAAAAAGATAAGCTGCACATTTACTGCTATAGCACTCCCTTTGCAAGAGAAAACACCTTACTTCAGGCTACATATGGTGCAGTTCACACTTTAAAATAGTTGTGCTCTTTTGAAAAAGGCAGGGAGATCTGCCTTGGGGCATCTGGAAACTCCCTCTGATTGAACTCCATTTCCACACAAGCAGACAGTACTTTAATATCTAGTGACCCTCTGCCCTCTCAAGTGAGGCTGAAATCAGCCAGCTGGTCCAAAACCCACTGGAGAAATGGTGGAGAAAACTTGCACAGTACAAATGTAAAATAAAACCCTCAACACTGCTGCTGTCAGTGCCTTCACCAAGCATTGTCAGTGGGAAGCAAGGGGATTTGGGAGCACTGCCCTGAGCTGTGGTCTCAAAACCACAGCTACACCTCATGACAGCAGGCACTCCGTTGCCAAAACACATAAAGCACATTCTATACCCGGCCTGAAGAATGGTGAGACACTTGGGCATCTCTACCCTCACTCCTGGGGCTCCTGCTGCCCCCGGCCCCACACTTCTCCTCGCCTTGTGCTGCCCTCCAAGGTCACAGCAGCCCCCAGCTGACCTCACAGCTCCTGCATCCCACAGGTGTGGGGTCTCACCATCCCAACCCTCCTCGGCAATTGCACCCTTCCTATGCTGACCCAAGTGCTCTTGTCTTCTCCTTCTGCCTCTTACATTACCCCAGACTGTGGTATTCCCTCCTGCATGCACACACACAAATACACTCTCACATTTCCTTCCTCCATTTTTTTGTCTCTGAAGTTGGACAATTTTAATGTTTTTATGTTAATTGCTTTTGAATAACAGTCTTTCTGGAAAACAAAAGGTTTCCCAGAGTACTGGTTTCTTTGGAAATGTTCCCATGGCCAGCTACAAGCTGAAATAATAGCATTAATACGAAAATTTCCACATAAGTATATAAGACTCTTTTTCAACAAATGGTGAAAAAAGTTGTGGAGTTCTTTTTGGTTGTTTGGGGTTTGGGATTGGTTCGTTTTTTGGCATTTTCAAGCTGGATTTCCCCTCCAGCCTCCGAATTCCCTGCCTCCTTCCAGGAGAAGGGCACAAAGTGGAGTCTTGTTGCAGTTTGCTTCAAGAGAGGGAGAGGTAGTGACCTTGTTTACCGAGAGCAACCTCAGTGTGTACGAGCAAAGAGCTGTGTGGAGAGGCTGCCTGCCTTGGCTGGAATTCCTCTCTTGTTAAAGACCACAGGAAATGATGGACATTTCTAAACCGGAAAAATTTGCAAGCAAGCTTGGGCTAACCACAAGAAAATAAAGCACACAGCAAGAATCACAAGGCTCATGCAGAGGAGGAAAAACTGACAACTTTTGATTCATGCGCTGTTAAAGGTTATGATGCTGCCATCTAACATTATGGAAACGAAGCCACTGTTTTGAACACTAAGCAGGTAGCTGCTTCAGCAAAAAAATGCAGGCTTTGCTCTTTTTCACATATTTGTGCATGAGCTGTTGGAGAAGTTGGGCTGGTCTCAAAGAGACAGTGACACAGGGTTGGAGAGGGCCAACTCATATGCAGAGCGCTACAAGTCCTCACTTGGTTTCCTGGAGCCAAACTGTTTGGAGTACAAGCCTGCTAAAAGTCTGGCTTCCATCTCCCTGAACTTCTGGAGTCTTTTGATGTCCCCTTCCACCTTTAAAAAGGGAGGGTCCAACAGGCAGGGGCACAGAGCCAGCAGTCCTATTAGAGTTAATGTGAGTGGGTGAAAGATGAACAACCACATGGATGCAAGCCTACCTTTTTGCCTTTTGCTCTGATAGCCACACACCGGAAGATTTTCCTTTCAGTTGGTTCTTCTCAGCTTATCCTGTCTTTCTCTGTTATGCTTCAGTTCCACAGACTTCTTAAAAATAAAAACAAAAAGAAAAATCATTTAAAAGGTGTTGTAAAGGAGGGCATGCATTACCCACCATCTCATTTCCATGTAGGATTTTCCTTGCAGCATGCACAAGTTTGTTAACTACTAAAATAATACAAAGAGTACAACCATCTCATATGGTGTGTTGGCAGAAGGAGAGGAAAAGCATTTCAAATCTTAGCTTCCACTAGTGACTGGCACACTTTTGGGCTTGGCAAGGAAAGGAACTACTGAACAACCTTCTGCCAGTGCAGAGATTTCCCCGGAGCTGGCACTGGCATAGCTGTGCTGGGGGTTGTCTACACATGGGGCTGCCAGGAAAGAGGGGAGAAATCATAGAAGGAAAGGACCCTTAATATGATCTAGCTCCATCCCTCTGCCATGGGCAGACACCTTCCACTAGACCAAGTCTCTCAGAGGGAAGCAGGTTTTGCTCATGGGCTCTCTTTCATACCAGTGATCCCATGGCATGCATGGAGTAGAGGAAGATAAAAACAGAGACGCACAGTGCTATACAAACCTTTACTTTCTGACAGGGCTGAAGGGCTTCACAAAGGTTTCCCAGCACACTGCCACATTTGGCTGCTGGAAAGGAAGTACCTGCATCCTCCACCAGCCTTTTCTCATGACCAATTATCTTACATCACAAGGGCATTAAAACGAAAGGAGAAAGGAGCACAAAGGGAAAAAAAAGGACAGGAATACTTGCAAGATAAGAGAGAGATCACACTGGCAAGCAACAGCTGTTACCAAATAAGCCCAAAAGGCTGCAGCTGCTTTTTTTTTTTCTCTAGATTTAAAGAAACAGCTTGCAGGAAGGCTGCTGGAGCTTTGCAGGGGGACAAAGAGCCAGACAGGGACCACCAGCTATTTTCAGTGTGGAATATCAGCATAGCACAAAAACCAGAAGATATCATAGAATGGTTTGGGTTGGAAAGGACCTTAAACATCATCTAGCTCCAACTTCCTAACCGTGGGCAGAAACACCTTCCACTAGATCAGGTTGTTCAGGGCTTCATCAGCCTGGCCCTGAACACTTCCAGAGATGGGGCATCTACAGGTTCTCTGGGTAGCCTGTTGTAGTGCCTTGCCTTGCAGTGTTTTTACTCCTTTCCAAAAGTATTTTCTGTGTTTGGTGATAGCCTTGGTTTGCCTGCTAAGTAAAACTTTCATGCAGTTTGTGAAGCTGCCTATCTTGACTTCATCTACAGTGAAAATGCAGCAAACTTCCCCGTAAGTCAGGTGAAAATATGGTTTCTAAAATGGAGATCCATACAAACAGTATATTGAGATTAAGCCAGTTATTAGAGAGGAGTTTCCATTTCCTTAGACATACAGTGTTTGCACCATGTTAAAAAGGAGAAAAACAGCTTGCTGTGAGGCTACAATGCTTGTTTGAACTCCACTGCCTGTGTGTGCATCCAGACTTGAGTGCTGACAGAATGGTAAGGCGCAGGAGGATCCCCTGTGTCTTAGCAGCACCTGCTGCAGGGAATTGTCTTAGAACAGCATCCAAAAAGCCCTCAGTAAAAAATTCCTCTCCCTTAACTACTGAGCTATGTTGTTTCTGCTAATCTGGTAGAAACTGGCTATGGATAGACAGATGCTGCAAACCCTGGTACTGTTTTTACAGCAGACTATTTACACAGACATCAGGGTCTATACTCCCAAAGGTACTCTGGCATCTTCTACACATTGCAGTCACAGGGGTCAGCTGCCCATCTGCTACAGGTCCCTATTCCTGCAGTGATTTTCTCCTTTCAGATCCCAAAAACCAGGGGGTTGATATCAGTGTATATCTTACATTTTATGTCTCTGAGTATAATTTTCAGTAAAAGCAGATCCTCAAGATATGAAACAAGTAGGTAAAAGTTGGAGGGAAGAGTCAACTGAAATGACAAATATTTGGGAGCCTGAGGTTATGAACATACGGCTGCTGAGTAAAAAAGCTTTATTCATTCAGAGATGGAAAAAAATAAACAGAAAAATCAATACATTGTCCCTCTATGATGCACATACCCAGATTAAAATAATTAAAATGCATCTCTCTGCCTCCTGTGGGAATTTAACAAAGCATAAGTGGACTATGCTCTTCTACTATTCTAGAGGCATGGAAGAGGGATGAATTAGTGTCAGACACCAAAATAGGTGAAGTAGCCACTTCAGCTCTGCAAGGTAGCACAAAGCAGTGTGAGACAACCACCAGCCATGTGTAAGCACCAGGCTGCCTTCTGTCTGAGACAAATTCCAGCATGCAGAGAGCACAGAGGGACAGGCTGCTGCTGCTGCTGCAGAGGGATCTGCACAATAGAGATGCACGCTCACTGCAAGGCAGGGAAATGCTGGTTAGGCCTGGAGACATGGAGAGATTGAGAGCAGAGAGGGACTTCAGCATAATGATTTTCAAAATTGTAAGATTTTGCCCTTAATCTCCCCCACTTGCCAAGAGAAGCTACAGCCAATTCAAGTTATTTAAGTTGGGGCTGTCTACATGCTGTCAGAAAACTGTTTGAAGTTCTTGCTGTTGAGGGATAAGCAGCTTTTATGCAGAATAACCTGGCACTTCAAGAATTTTAAAAATTCAGACATCACACAAGGAAATGTTTAAAAGCTGCCACTGATAGAGATTTTGTGTAAAGAACAACTGCTTTTCCCTCAAACAGCAGGGAGGTAAAGAAATGGCGCTTTCCTCTCCTAGTGTGCTGAAAGCAGCTGTGGGCTAAACCTGTAAATTTAAAAACAGAAACTGAATGTAAATGCAAAAATCAAAAAAAGTGTCTGATGACATAGATATTAAAAAAAAAGGTTGTCATGATTTCTACTAATTATTATCATTATTACTGTACATGGAAAATAATGAGTGCTCAGCCCTCTGAGACTGAGTTACTGAAGTGTCTCAGCTTTGGAGACACACAACAGTGTGTTATTAACTATTGGTTATAGGCAGCTTGAAGAGTGCTGCAGGACAGATAACCCTGACCAGCTCTCCTGCACACTCTCAAACATGTAAGCAGCATCTGCTCTCTGCCCTTACCTTACTAGAAATCAGTCCTTTATTAGTCTAGGGAAAGCCCAGATCTTTTCAAGGACACACGTGAATCATGTTCCACCTGCATGCTATATATCAATTCTGCTGTTTAATTTGCTGCCCTTTCACTTGATATCAACAGTGTTCACATATTGCAAACAGGAAAACTGAGTCAGGAAGTTTGAGAACTTATTTTATGTCACAGATTAAAAAAAATACTTAAAACAGCACATCAGTTACTGTATTGAACAATAGACTAATAAATTCTAGTATTGCATATGCTATATAGTAAAATTTAACAATCCCTTATTCTTTTAGATTAAGTGTCTCCTCACACAAAGTACACCCTGAAGCACTCAGCAACAATATTTTTATCATCTATCCAGGTTCTTATATGGCTCCCATCACTGCAGCACCTGCTTTTATGGTAGCTGTGAAATACAGAGCCATAGAATCTAATATGGAATCAGAACCAGGAGACATTGTTTGTCCAACTACTAATAAGCCAACACAGGAAACTAAACTAGAATTCCAATGAGCTTCGAGCTGTTTTTATGATGCTGGATCAGTTGACTTTTACTTCATTGATCACAAATTGCTATTGTTAAGATTAAGTATAAGAATCATCTGGAAGAAAGTTACCATTTTGTGAGAGACTTCATTTTGCAGAGAAGGAGGGAAGAGTGTGATTCCCATTTCTTCTCTTATAAACCCCTCAAAACAGAGAATATTTGTCTTGCTGTCAACCATCAATTGGTATGAGTCACTCCTAACTTTGCTTCTGAAAAAAAACCAGGAAAGGAGAAATGAGAAGTGCACAAGAAAGTAAGTGCACGTACATCCCATCTGTTATGACCTGCCTCTCAGAACAAAATGGTATTATCTCCTCAGGGAAGGACCACTTCATTTCGCTCCCACAGTCATTAACATCTTCACAAAGTAAATACAAGAGACAGCATTGGGCATTGTTTTGTACTCTGCAGGGATATGATTGATGGTACAAGACTGTGGAGGAATCAAGACCGTGAGAACATAAAGCCCCGTTCTCATGTGAATGTGGTGCATTTTAGTAATGAACATGCTCAGGTATTCTAATCTCAGACAAAAACAGGAGTTTTACTTCTGAGCAATCATTCGTGTGAACAGGATGAAGCAGCCAGTCTGTGGGGCTGAGGTGCAGCTCTGCCTGCAGCTGCAGCTCAGCAGACAGGGACCTGCTACAGAGAGTGCAGGTGCACAGGGATTGTGTGGAAAGTACCCTCAGAGCTAAGAACAAAGTGGATGAGAGGTAAAGTGGGGTAGTGGGTGTTCCTTCGGCAACAGGGAGGTGTAGGGAGCAGTATGTGCGCGAGGGGAGGGAGGCTGGGAGTAAAATGGACATGATAGAACATCAGCCTGGGAGCACTGATCGCCTAGAGAAGAACAGCTGCTGTGCATATGGAGATGCATTAAGGCTTCCCCCAGGAAATGTTCTCCAGGAACCTCCACAACAGACAGGCTGCAGCAGTCAACCATCTGATCAGTAGGTCATGGAAACACAGAAAGTTCCCTTCCCAGATTCACCTCACTCAGCCATGGATGATTCCCACAAGCAACATTACTTTGTCAAGGATCAGTCTGGGCTTTCACAAATGTCTCAAACAAGCTCTTAGTCTGCAAAACACAGGAAGTCTAGGCAGCAAGACAGAGAAAAAACCACCCACCAGAGCAAACGTGGGGTCTAGGCCAGGAGGTGTTTAGCAGGGAACATTATGACAGGTCAGAAAACATGCTGAAGTAAAAGCAGGGTTTGAGACAGAAATGGTGTTTGTGCTGGAAGTGCTGGATTTAGGTCTGTGTTTCAAACAAGACATCTCCCTCATCTCATACGCTGTAGTGAGCTCAAGGGCAACCAGCCTGTACATTAAATGGGTCTTACTTGATTAAAACAGAGGCCAGAATCTTCTTAGTTCGTCCACTGAAATGTCAAGGAGCAAGTGGAAAAGGAGATGTTCCTTCATAGGAGAGACATCTCTCTGACAGTGTCACTTCACAAAGATGTCAAAATGAGACAGGGAAAACACCTGCAGTGGTGTCTCTTCTCTGTTTCAGAGGGAGCAGAGATAGGAGAAGGAAGAGCTGACAGATGACATTTGGAAGCAGCTTTTCTGTGTCTGAGTTACCAGCTGTGGCCACCCATAGATGTAGGTGGTGCCCATGCTGACAGACATTGCTGAAGGGTGAAGCCAGGGAAGGAGGCACAGGTTCTGCAGCACCCAGGATCACCCAGAATCAAACTCTCAGGCTGGGAGTGCATAACACAAGTCCAGACCCACTGTGGCTGTCAGAGTTCCCTTGTCTAGGGAATTAGGTCCCACCTCTGCCCCAGGCTGTGGAGGGTTACACTTAAAAACATCCCTGCACAGGCAAGGGAGCAATCCACACAGTTTGCATAGGCCCCAAAATTAACACTTTCTATTCCTTAGCATGTTTGTGAGGCTTTATTGTGGCACCCTAAGTGGCTGGAGGGGTGACTTCCTCTGAGGCCCGGTGCTCACCCTGTTTATCCCCAGCTCTGTTGTGGCAGCTTCTGGGTGGGTGCTTTGGGGAGGGAGAAGCTGGGGAATTCCATCTCCAGGTGCAAGGTGACTGGATGGTGGAGA